GGGCAGACTGGGCACGTGAACTATGAGTGAGGCTGTCGAAGATGGCAGAGCTGTCCCTGCTGCAGAGGCACCTCCTCCCGCTTCGGTGGCGAGCCCCAAGCCTTGCTGGGGCATGGCAGGGGCACCGGCGCAATCCCAGCCCTGGCAGAGCCTGTGTCCCTGGGGAACGTCTGGCGGGTGCTGGCAACTGCAGAGGAAATATTCAGCAAGACGGGTCTGGGCTTTGACTCTCACGTGGCAAGTCCATCGCAGTTTCCTAGTTAACGTGCTTCTGAGGAGACGCTGCTCTGGCTGGCACTCGGCAGCTGCGGTGCGGCTCTTGGACTGTCCTGAGGAAGCAGCTGCAGCTTTGTCGGGACCCCCCGGCTGTAGGAATCATTCCCTGGGTGCTTTCGGTTGCACCGTGCTGAGGTGTGGGACCAGGCGGGAGACCTGGCTCTGGGAAGCAAACCAAACCACGTTAAATAAGCTAAGAGCAAGATGCAGAGAGAATCCACGTGCCCGCTGCAAGCCTGGAAAGCTTTGTGCTCCCTGTGGGCAGGAAGAAAACTCCCAGCAAGGCTGTGTCCTGGGGTTTCTCTCTGCTTCCTTGGAAGCATTTGATGCTGACTGTGGTTAGAGCCGAGTTTTGGACTAGCAAAGCCCTACTCTGACCTGGGTTGGCTGCTCTGGTCCTTCTGTCCCTGTCCCCCTGCCCTCCCAGAGCTGGCTTGCAGCTCCCGGTTTGCTGGAAGAGCACAGGGTGAGAAGGGTGCTCCCAGGGCTGGAAGCAGAAGATAAGATGCACGTGTGCCTGGTGAACTGGGACAGGGCTGCTCACGGAGCTGGGGCTGTGATGCACCTGGATGGCAGCAATGGGAAATATGGGCTCTGGGGGTCCGCACCATGCCGAGGGTCCACACTGCACCAGCCCCGCAGGGCGAGGTGCATGATGCCTGGCCAGCACATGGGCTGTGGACGGGCTTGGAGATGCCAGTGCTGCCTGCTCCTCTGCCAGCTCCTGCCTGGGGGCTCGCATGTTCTCTCTCTGGACAGAGAGGGGGTTTCCTGGCCTCCAATGCCTTTTTACCAGGTTACTCTGGTTTCTGTGATGGAGGAGCAAAGAGGAATTTGATGGGGAGGAGAAGGAGAGGGTCCAGGCACAGCCAGAAGAAAATCCCAGAGCCGGGGGAAGACTCACGACTTGGGGCTGGACCTGGAGGGACCAGCAAGGTGGCTGCTCCTGGGCACCCCGGGGGAGGTGCAGGGGCTGAGGACGGTCACCCCTTCCCTTCCCGCTGTCAGTAAAGGACGTTCCTCGGCCCTGGCGAGGGTGGCTGGGCAGAGGGAGTGCTTTGGCTGCAGTGCCAGCTGGCTGTGGTGCTGGGCAGCTCCACCGCCACCCAGCCAGCATCGCCCAGGGCACCCTGAGGGGAACCCCTGCTCCACGGGAGCGAGTGTTTGCAGCTCTGGGAGTCAGGGTATTGCTCTAATGCCTAAATTGTGAGGCTTCCCACTTCTTCCAGAGCGCTGTGGTAACGGCTCTGGTGCCTGGGGGTTTGTTCTTTAGAAAAAACCCAAGTTCCTCATGGGTTTCTCAGCAAGTCACACTGACTGACGGTGTTCCCTGGCTTGCGCTGCTGCTGAATGTCCGTGTTCTTTCCTTTTCCGTCTGCGTTTTGGTTCCCCCCCTTCCCCACCCTGCGCTGGGTTCTTCCTCCTCCTCCTCCCACTGCCTTTATCAAGGCTCAGTTTGGTTTTTCAGTCCAGTTCTGGAAGAATGTGAGGCTCGGACTGAGTGGGGCTTAAGTATAGGGAGGGAGTTAAGTGGATGCTTAAATACTTCAGCTACCTGGTTTAAATACATGCGTAAGTGCTTTGCATCCGCGGGCTCCAGTAGATGTTTGGGAGCCCTGGCTGGAGTGGGTCCTGTGCATCAGCCACCGCTGGGGAGGGATGCTGGGCTGGGGCGCTGACTGTGCAGAGCACAGCCCTGCTGCCACGGGACACAGTGTGGCTTTGGCAGTTTCCTGGAACAGAGACAAGCATGTGTTCTGAGCCGGCCTCCAAGTCATCCTCGTCCAGCTCCGGTTCTCCGGCACTCGCCATCAGCAGCGGGTGCCGCTCCTTGTGGGGCTGAACACTCTCATTTTTAGACATTTGGTTCAATGCTGGTTCTGTACCTTCCCGGCATCAGCCGCGGCATGGATGTCTGGTCTGATGGGAAGCGTGTTTGGGTGTCCCTGTGATTACGAGGAGGACCGTGCGTGTGTGTGCCAGTCCCACCAAGAGCTGCTGGTGACACCGGTGAGGCACTTGGTGGGATCCCCCCACACGGTGCCGGGGCCGTCGCGCAGCCCTGCCTGCCCTGAGCGCTGCCGCCGCCGCCGCCGTGCCACCGCAGCTCTTCGTTAGCCGCCGAGAGTAAACAATGAGCACAGGCTGAGGTTTGCAGGGCCCTAATCCATTTCCCTTGTGTCTCTTTCATCTCCAGTCGGACCAGGAGAGTTGTAATAGACCTTCTTACTAAATTAAATGTAGAGGCTGCTGCTCCAAGGCACGTTTCAGTTCAACCGTAGTGTTTGATTTCCCAGCCACAGCAATATGGTGCCTCCAGGGAAAAAGCCAGCTGGGGAAACTTCCAATTCCAATAAAAAGTGTAAGCGCTATTTCAATGAGCACTGGAAGGAAGAATTTACCTGGCTGGAGTTTGATTATGAGAGGAAACTCATGTTTTGCATAGAGTGTCGGCAGGCACTGGTGAAGAACAAGCACGGTAAAGCGGAGAACGCCTTTACCGTGGGCACGGACAACTTCCAGCGCCATGCCCTGCTGCGGCATGTCACCTCCGGCGCCCACCGCCAGGCACTGGCGGTGAACCGGGAGCAGCTGGCTTTCGAGACCCGTGTCCACAGCCACCCGGAGCTGCGCTCGGTCATCAAGGTGGAGGTGAACCCGGCGAAGGTGGCCGTCCTCACCACCGTCTACTGGATGGCGAAGGAGGAGATCCCGGATGAGAAGTGCTCCTCCCTGCTCGACTTCCAGAAGTTCAACCTGTGCCAGGCGCTGCTGGCCTCCGAGCACAGCGAGTACTACCACCCCAGCAGCATCAGGGAGATGCAGGTGTGTATGCCGGGCTGGGGGCTCCGCCCCCGGGTCTGGTGGCTGCTTCGGGGCCGGACAGTGCCGCGCAGCCGCCTGCCTGCAAAGCTGCCTGCCCCTGCCGCGTTCAGCAGAGCGGGTGGGGGCCCGTGCCAAACCGGCTGTGGTGGGGACATCAGCGTGCTGGCTGGGCGCTTCCCAGCGCCCCATCGAGCATTGCCAGCACCCGCTTGGCTTTTCTTCAGGTGCTGCATGAGGGAGCAGGAGCCTTAAGCACGCACCCCCATCCCACGGGCCTCAGCAAAACACAGGGAGGCAAATGTGTGCTCTGCCTCACCAGGGCTGGAGTTGTTTTTGCGGTGAGGATTGCTGGATCCTCCCGGCAACGTGAGCCTGGGAAGGCCGGAGCTGGGTGCTGCAGGGGTGGGCAGGCAGGAGGCAGGGCAGGGAGCTGGTGTCCCTGACTCGCAGGCAGAACAGGGGCTGGGGCCACTGCCTGGTCAGGAGCACCAACAGCCTCTGTGTCAGCGTTTGCTGATGGGCAGACCTCCGTCCCCGTCCTTGGACGGGTAAATGCGCCTCGTGGGACCAGGGAATGTCCACGATGTGCTTGGGACCACCGGCCCAGTCCACAAAACCAGGCTGCTCTGGGGTGTGCTCTAGTCCCACGAGGGAGTCAGTGGAGCCAGGCGATGCTCTGTTTTCCAGGATTTTCGGTGCAGACTGAAAGTTCCTCCACATTAAACATCAGTGTGGCACCTTGTTAGTGTCATTCCCTGATTTGACAAACCAGGAGAAGGCGATTGGGCTCCATCGAGGGAGCCTTGGGCTCGTGGTCACACGTGTGGTTCCAGACACGCAGGGAGACCGGGAGCATCCTCTCCCATCTGAGCCTGCCAGGCTGCTTGGAGGATAAAAGTTCAGGAGTTCAATTAGCACATGAGCACTGTGGGTTTTTCCTCTTTTGCCCTAAACTGAGTGATCAGAAAGATCAAGTAGCCAGAGAGTTTAGAAAGGATTTTCTTAATTTACAAATGCTTCGTGCCTGTTAAAATCAAATTAATTTTTTAGTGAGTCTTGGCTGTTTGCCAGGCTTTTTAGATCTCTAAAGAGCCTTATTTCTCTGCAGATAGACTAAATCCACTAATTAGATTTCTCAGCCTGAAGTGCTACATCCAGCATTCACACACACCGAGGGCGTTTTCCCTGCAAACCAGGGCGTTTGCCTGAAATGGGGAAAACGGAGTAAAGAAGGAAGAGATGCCGGGAAGTTTTGCTGCTGCTCCTACCCGTGCTGGGCTTGTAAAGCACAGAAGCAATTGCTGAAGTCTGAACCGAGGCAGCAGGTTTTCGGCGTCTTTCCTTGCTCCTGGCACAGGCAGGGTCTCAGGAGGGGACGGTGGCTCGGTGCTGCCTGGCGGCTTTTGGCCCTGCTGAAGCCATGGGGCTCCAACCCCCTGCTCAGGGCAGGGACCCCGGAGCTCTCCGCAGCTTCACTTGGTGTTTGGGCTGCAGGCCAGGAGCAGGAGGAGGCGGTATATTAGAAAAAAGAAAGTGCTTTCCAGCTTGTGTATGTACTTGTATATACAACTTGCTTAAGTGCTTCTCTCTGACTCGGGACCTTGCACCGCTTTCGGGGAGATCTGAGGGCGGGAACCTTGCAGCTTGCTTTGCGCCGGGTGCTGTGCATCTCCCATGTGCTTCTGAAGTTTTTTTTTTTTCCCTCCCCGCCTGCCCTGCGCATCCCCTTTAACTGGCTCAGGCAGCAATCGCCAAAGTCCTGCACAACGAGGACAGGCACAGGATAAAAGCCTCACCGTTTGTTGGGCTGGTGGTGGATGAGACGGTGGACGTCCTGGAGCACCGCAGCCTTGCCATGTTCACCACCACCGTCTCCCCCTGCAACGGGCAGACCTCCGCCACCTTCCTGGGGAGCTTCGAGCTGCCCGCCGGGGAGGCCTCCACGGTGGCGGGCAAGGTGGGCGAGGTGATGCGCTCCTTTGGCATCCCCACCATGAAGATCACCTGGCTCAGCGCTGACAGCGCCTCGCTGGTGGCTGAGCGGCTGAGCGGGGTGGGGACTGCGCTGACCTCCCTCTGCCCGCTCCTCATGGAGATGCACTGCCTGTCCCACGGGAGTTCCCTGCTGCCGGCCGAGAGCATCGTCAGCATCGAATACCTCCAGAAATATGAGACCACCGTGGATGCTGTGTACAGGCTCTACTCCAGCTTCAGGGGGGAAAGCAATGGCTTGCAGGAGCTGCGGAGCGTCCTGGACCTCTGCGAGATAGACCTCGGGAGCCCCAAAGCCATCCACTGGACTTCCATTTTCCCAGCTGTGGAAGCCATTGATTCCTCGTGGCCCACGCTGGTGCTGCTGCTGGAGAGTGAGGCAGAGCGGTCGCCTGTGGCCCATGGCCTCTGTGAAGAGCTCAAGAAGTTCCAGTTTGTGGCCTTCACCAAGATCCTCCTGGATGTCCTCCCCATCTTCCAGAAGCTCAGCCGCTTCTTCCAGATCGAGGACTTCGACCTCTCCATCCTGAAGCCCATCGTCTCTGCCACAGCCACCACCCTGCAGGCCCAGAAGAGCACCAGCGGCCAGAACCTCCAGGAGTTCCTCAACGAGATGAACGAGCACCCGCGGGATGACCGGGAGGGCGAGAGCTGCCTCTACTACAAGGGTGTCGAGCTGGCCAACTGCTCCAAGGTGCACCTGAAGCACTTTGAGCGTCTGAAAGAGAGCTACCTGGAGAGCGTGCGGGGCAACCTGCTGGACAGGTTCCCTAGCAGCGTCCTGGAGGCCATCAGCTCCTTCTCAGCCATCTTCAACCCCAAGTGCTACCCCCAGTCTTTGGAGGACATTGGCAGCTATGGGGTCAGTGAGCTGAATTTCCTCCTGCAAGCTTACTCCCGGGTGGTGGTGAGCGAGAGGGCCCTGAGCGATTTCCCCCTCTTCAAGCGGATTGTCTTCAGCCTCAGCCAGCTCTCCTTCAAGGACCTCTGCGTCAAGCTAGTCTATAGCAACTCTGAGATGCACGAGCTCTTCCCGGACTTTGCCATTCTCGCGGCCATCGCCCTGGCCTTGCCGCTGGGCTCAGTCCTCGCTGAGAAGATCAGCCGGGGCCGGGAGCTGCTGAAGCGTGGCCGGTCATGCCGCGCGAAGGACGAGGGGCTCTCAGACCTCATGAAGATTGCCATTGATGGGCCAGCCATCAGCGAGTTTGACTTTGCGTTGGCCATTGAGTACTACGAGAGCATGAGGGAGTCCGGCTTCATCGTGGCACAGGTGAAGTGAGCGGTGGCCGGCGAAGGCAGAGCCCTGCGGGCAGGGAGCCGGGTCCTGCAGGCAGCCCCGAGTGCCAGCTCGACGCCGCCTTTCCTATCACTAGTCACCGCTGGAGCCAGGGGGCCGCTGGTGGGTGGTGACCTGCTCCGTGCTGGGAAGAGGGAACGGGATCCTTCACAAAGCCGTGCCGGTCCCACAGCCACCCCTCCCTCATCCCTCAAACATCCGTCTGAATTGGCCAGAATTTAAAATCTTGGGGCCACCTGAAATCCCAAATTGCGATGAGGTTTTTTTCAAGGGTTTGTTATTATTTTGTTTTAGGGAGATGAAGGCAAATCTTCTCTTGAGCTCAAATGTCACATTGCCTTTGCACAATGATACCCAGCAGCTTTTACTTAATACTCTGCAAAAATATCTGATTTTTGTTGTTTTGGAGCCTCGAGAATGAATGCAGAAAAGGCAGCGCATCTTTCTAGCTCTGTGGCAAACCCTGAAATGCCTGGCGGTGTCTTGTTGGTATTCCTTGCGCACAGCACAAAATATTTTTAGCGGTGGCATCAAGTCATGATCATTTCAAGAGCAAGAGATTTAGAGAATGATATTGTAATCACCAAGGAAATAGTAACTTAAATGCATCATTGTGTATATATGTGTATGTGTATATATATAAAAAATATATATAAATATATATATATTAAAAAGGTCTATCTTAATTTTCCTAGTGTTTAAAGTACGAAGATATCTAAAAGGACTTCTTTTTCAATGACAGAATAAATTATAAGCAGGGGTCCAAAAATAATAGTTAGCAAATTCATGGTCTTTTCAAAATGGCATCACATACCCACGTTCCCTTTGCACTCTGAGCTCTCTGCAACCTTGCAACCAAAGGAAGAGTCTTTTAACATCTGCTTTTGGGACAAACCTGAGTTGTTTAGCTTGTGTTTTTCCTTTTAAACATTCCCTTTACCCTGAAGTGAGCGAAGCTGTCAGGAACCTGTGGCAGGTGGGGGATCCGGCTCCTCTGCCGCTGGGGTCTGGGGGTGTGAGTGCGGTAGCCGAGCTGGGCAGTTGGTGCTGCGTGGCATGTCGGGGTGTTATGGGGCTTCTCTGGTTTTAACTCGGAGGGATGTTTCCTTCAGTTCTGTTGGGGTGGGGTGAGAAGACCCTTCTGACTGATTTTAATCTGCAATAAAGCCAACGCAGCTGCCTGAAGCATCACATCAGTTTAATACTGAGCACCGGATCCTCCCGCGGGATCCAGCTCTGCTCCTTCCCTGGGTAAGTTGATGCTGTCCCACAGACGCAGGGTCCGTGTTCAGCA